ACATGTTCTCACGGAGCTGCAGTATGCTGCATACGGCAAACTTATAGCGTTTTTTGTAGGTCAACTTGTTTTTCTTCTTTATTGGTTTATTTTCATAGCTCAGCTAATTATTTCTCTTGAGAAACTGTCATCATATCTTTATTTTGGAGGTTGCCGTAGAGCATTTTGCTCGGTGAATGGTATTAAAGGTTGGGAAGAGCTCACTTACACTGATGTGCAAAGCGAACACTTGCTTTCTAACATAAATCAACTTCGTTGAGTTATCGGTTCCATGCAATTTTCTTTTTATGTACATAAACTTGGTAAGTTCGTGAGTCTAAAGCAAAAAAGTCCAATCGGCTGGTTAGCGCAGCTTGTGTTCCGGTTAAACTTAAACTTCTCGATATTATCACAACTTCTCATTTTCGTATGTTCCATCTAACTCTTTTTTTGAGCAAAAAAACTGACTCAAAATCTTCTCGCTCAAAATAGTTCTTGCAGAAAAAAAATTCCCGTGTTTACTGTCAGAGAATACTCATCCCAAACATATGGTAATTGATGTATTGCAGCTCCGATTGCTGTTTACTCATTCGCAGAACTGCGTAGCAGACCTTCACGAGTTCTTTCTCAATGTTGTTTTCGTCCACACTTCTATGTTGATTGCGAGCTTATGGAGATATCTCTTCCAACCGCACCTCATGCTGCACCATTTATGACATCCCATAAGATGATGCTCATTTTTCAAAATTAGCTTCGACACTTTGCAGTCACGCAATAGCGATATCATAGATCCGGAACATAGGAAAGTGATATCAAACACTCTTTCCTTTTAGACGTCTAACTCATGCATGCAAGCCAAAAAAAAACTCGTGTTTGTTTCCATTATTGTGCATGCGAAGCTTTAGACACAAAGAAAAACTCAATAAAAACTAAAATTTTCTGAGAAAATCCAACTAAGATTATGCAAAACCGACATTGAATTTTCGTATGCAGAGAATATAACAACTTATAGGGCTTCAATAGTCGGAAATATGTTTCCAAATAAAGGTAAGTTGAGAAAGATTTGTGTTCTTCAAAAAATTTTTACCTTACTTCGAAGAGGTTACTGAATCCGTGTAGACAATTTCTATGATTCGCGATTGATGGTGATTGATATGCTGAAAGGGAAGGGGAGCTCAGCCAATTACCAGATCTGCTCTAATCCCGCAGTTTACTCTGGTACGACATTACCGTACTTGAAGGGTAGAAAGCGTTATTAGCTCAACGGCGGGATCGAACCTTGGTTTCACCGACCATAGTGGCGCATCATACAATACCACCCGTAATTTGTGAAAAAAAATGGCGGCGGCACTTAACTTACGCGGCGCCGCCGAAGTTAGGTGACTTTTGCCGCGTCGCGCGACAAAAGTCGGCGGAAAAGCGGCAAAAGTCACCTAACTTTGTCGCGCAACGCCTAACTTTTTATAAAAAAAGACCTTATCTTGATTCAAAATTTATGAATTCTATATATAAGAGTACCATTCAACTCAGCTCGGCGAGGCGCATCTTCCAATATACGGATGTGCCTAGTTGTGGGATATAAGTTTCTTTCCTGGAATTTTAGTGTAAATGGACCATTCAGTGTGCTGATTCCAGAGGCTACGTACACATTCTATTGAGCACAGCAGAAATAGGGCAGGTATAGTTTAAGAGCTCATTCTGCATGGATATATGTGAAACTGGGCAGCTCATTCTGCATGGATATGTGTGAAAGTGGGCTTTTCTCGGCGAAGTATGACGGGTCCCAAAATGCAGGAAGACAAAGGGAAATGGTTGGAAATCGCATGAGAAGCACATATCGCGGAATGCCGCGCGTGCTGTGCAATGTACAATACCACTCACAGAACGGGAATTTCGCGAAATTCCAGAAATTTCGCGATTCCGGATTATCGCAAATTATGCAGCGCCATAACTTCCTTCGGAATTAATATATTCTAAATTCGAAAGCAGCACTGTGTTCATCTCGTCAAGGCGAATCTTTCGACATACGTCATGTCATCTATATCTTGTTTCCAGTTTTCTCAAATTGCTCTGAGGAGGTCCCTTTGCAAGTATGTAACGCAGCGCCTATCCAACTTGAAAGCTTCCAGTAAGCACCATTCGATAGTGCTCTTCTTGTACATTATAGTGCGCTAGTAAGCTGCCGCAGACTTCTTTTCAAAAGAGAAAAAAGCGTTGGTAAATTCTGGAAAAATCACTCGTTTCCAGATTCTACTCGCCGTAACTTTCTTTGGAGTGGATATTTTCTGAATCCGAAAAATGCATTGTGCTCAGCTCATCAAGGCAAATCTTTCGGTATGCAGAATGTCCTTGATATCTCGATTTCAGTATTCTCAAAACTTTCTGCGGACGTCTCTTCGCAAAGGTGTGAAGCAGCGCGTATTGCCCCCAGTACATTCAGAAAGAAATTTTCGATAGTACTTCTTTTGTAGATTATGGAGCGCTAGAAAGTAGCCGCACACTCCTTTTCAAAGGAGTTAGAAGGGCTGGTGAATTCTGGAAAAATCATGTCCTTCTAAATTTTTCTCAACGTAACTCTAAAATATGAAGCTCTCTTGCTAAGCAGATGTGATTTTCGTAACCAGCAGGTCGGATAACCCTTAAGTGCAAGTTTTCCAAGATGTTCAAGTAATTTCATTTTTTCTCGTTTTACGCTCTGAAGCTGGCCGATGGATTTTGGTCAAAATGTTCATGCTCTTGAATTGTAAGGAAACTTCGCTTATAGAGGTTTTCAAACACGCTCTTTACGAAAATCGTGGTCTTTGAGGATTACAGGGTCTTTTTGGTGAGATACGGTGAGGTGACTGTAACTGCATCACGAAAGCGCGTAAATTGGCCCGCACTTCTCGCGTATCTGTCAGCAACCTTGCCTGCTTGCTTTTCTCAGTCAAAGTTACTAGGAACTGCGCTACCGAATGGTGCATGAATCAGGCTCCAGTCTGTAAAAATCACCGAGTTACGAGCCTATGAAAACACGTCCTCATTATTTTGCCCTAAATCTAAAGATCGCAAATCTCGTCGAAATTCCACCGTGAGCGCTTGTACAACACGCTGATCAAAATCTTTCGCGTCCTTAATGGATCTTATTGTGTTAGATTTAGTAGTTTGAGTTCTAGCCACTGAAATAGCTCTGATATTCAACTGAGCAGCTGAAGCATATGCAAGTACCATATTCAATACAGTGGGAGTTTTTGGGCGAAGCGAACGCAATATCCGCAATGCGAGTGTCATACAAGCGCTCACGGTGGAATTTCGACGAGATTTGCGATCTTTAGATTTTGGGCAAAATTCATGAGGACGTGTTTTCATAGGCTCGTAACTCGGTGATTTTTACAGACTGGAGCCTGATTCATGCACCATTCGGTAGCGCAGTTCCTAGTAACTTTGACTGAGAAAAGCAAGCAGGCAAGGTTGCTGACAGATACGCGAGAAGTGCGGGCCAATTTACGCGCTTTCGTGATGCAGTTACAGTCACCTCACCGTATCTCACCAAAAAGACCCTGTAATCCTCAAAGACCACGATTTTCGTAAAGAGCGTGTTTGAAAACCTCTATAAGCGAAGTTTCCTTACAATTCAAGAGCATGAACATTTTGACCAAAATCCATCGGCCAGCTTCAGAGCGTAAAACGAGAAAAAATGAAATTACTTGAACATCTTGGAAAACTTGCACTTAAGGGTTATCCGACCTGCTGGTTACGAAAATCACATCTGCTTAGCAAGAGAGCTTCATATTTTAGAGTTACGTTGAGAAAAATTTAGAAGGACATGATTTTTCCAGAATTCACCAGCCCTTCTAACTCCTTTGAAAAGGAGTGTGCGGCTACTTTCTAGCGCTCCATAATCTACAAAAGAAGTACTATCGAAAATTTCTTTCTCAATATACTGGGGGCAATACGCGCTGCTTCACACCTTTGCGAAGAGACGTCCGCAGAAAGTTTTGAGAATACTGAAATCGAGATATCAAGGACATTCTGCATACCGAAAGATTTGCCTTGATGAGCTGAGCACAATGCATTTTTCGGATTCAGAAAATATCCACTCCAAAGAAAGTTACGGCGAGTAGAATCTGGAAACGAGTGATTTTTCCAGAATTTACCAACGCTTTTTTCTCTTTTGAAAAGAAGTCTGCGGCAGCTTACTAGCGCACTATAATGTACAAGAAGAGCACTATCGAATGGTGCTTACTGGAAGCTTTCAAGTTGGATAGGCGCTGCGTTACATACTTGCAAAGGGACCTCCTCAGAGCAATTTGAGAAAACTGGAAACAAGATATAGATGACATGACGTATGTCGAAAGATTCGCCTTGACGAGATGAACACAGTGCTGCTTTCGAATTTAGAATATATTAATTCCGAAGGAAGTTATGGCGCTGCATAATTTGCGATAATCCGGAATCGCGAAATTTCTGGAATTTCGCGAAATTCCCGTTCTGTGAGTGGTATTGTACATTGCACAGCACGCGCGGCATTCCGCGATATGTGCTTCTCATGCGATTTCCAACCATTTCCCTTTGTCTTCCTGCATTTTGGGACCCGTCATACTTCGCCGAGAAAAGCCCACTTTCACACATATCCATGCAGAATGAGCTGCCCAGTTTCACATATATCCATGCAGAATGAGCTCTTAAACTATACCTGCCCTATTTCTGCTGTGCTCAATAGAATGTGTACGTAGCCTCTGGAATCAGCACACTGAATGGTCCATTTACACTAAAATTCCAGGAAAGAAACTTATATCCCACAACTAGGCACATCCGTATATTGGAAGATGCGCCTCGCCGAGCTGAGTTGAATGGTACTCTTATATATAGAATTCATAAATTTTGAATCAAGATAAGGTCTTTTTTTATAAAAAGTTAGGCGTTGCGCGACAAAGTTAGGTGACTTTTGCCGCTTTTCCGCCGACTTTTGTCGCGCGACGCGGCAAAAGTCACCTAACTTCGGCGGCGCCGCGTAAGTTAAGTGCCGCCGCCATTTTTTTTCACAAATTACGGGTGGTATTGTACGATTCATTACAGTTTTTGGTGCGGTGCACATGCATATCGCTTGATGAGATACCATGACGTTTACCGTAGTCGTTAAACTGAACCTGGACAGTTTTGCAGAAGTGGATTTGGGGAAATTTCTTACGAGGTCCTGGATTTCGTAGTTGTATAACGAAGTATACTTATCCATGACTGTAACTTCGACCCTAGTCTGTAACCAGTATGGAAACCCAGAATATGCAGGGATCTGGCAAAGAATTGGAGGATTAGAGTTCAGGGCTATTCTTAAATTGCGCAATCTTCTAAGGCACAAAATTGACAAGCCATTCAAAGTTTTGAGCAGAGTAGTGTTTCTGTCGTCTAAGCATCTACTTACCTGGCAAAGCAGAGCAAGCAGTAAGAGACGGAACATTTTGCAAATGTGCTTCAAAGGGCATCGGACCTCCTTTTATAGAGGCTATGAGGCATTTGGTGCGAATTTCGTGGTTATCAAAAGATGACGAAGCAAACACACGTTTTTAATTAATTTGGGTGTTTATGAAGCAGCCGAGCAAACGATCGCATTCGAGATGTTGGAAGCAAAAGAAACAAATAATCATAAGGTGCTTATTGCATGTGATAATTTCCTCATTGGCAACAAAAGTGGTTTGACTTATGTTACTAGGATAACTCTTGCATGCATGCAGGTGCTTTCTTCCATTTTCTTCGGACCACTTCGCTTTTAAAGCTTACTGTAAATTCCTAAGGCATCAATTTCAGTATCGAACATCTACAGAACATGAGATGTGTAGAAGTATCGCCTGTCTCTTCGTTGTGCTTCGACTTGAGCGGCTCAAATTTCGCGAACCCGCCTCGCTTAAGCTCTGCACTGCTTCGTAAACGTGAAATGGATTGTTTTCGTGCGCTTGAGCGTGACCATGCTGCTCAAGTGAGAAAATGGTCATAGGACACCTTCGCGGACACGATGCCAAAATTCAGAGCATCAGAGAATGACCATTTTCGCCACAATAAAACACCGCTGTTTTGTATCTTCGCTATATGAGTCAACATTCACTTGGTCCTATTTTGAGCAGATGAAAAATTGTGTTGTACTTTGCACTTATCGCAGCAAGTTGGCTGCAAGTAGTTGCTGCTAATGTCATACTAAATCATAGTCTTAGTGATAGCTCTAAACGCAACTGATTAGATTGTAGAAGCGAAACAGACTTGAAATGACAGCTTAGAAATAGCAGAAGTGCGCTTTTTTAGAATACTCACTGGATGTTGCCATAAAAGCTATGTTATAGAAGCGTCCTTAGCCCTCGGACAGAGTTCACGCAATTTAATCGTCGCGATTCAATCGCTGCAAGACAAATGTTACGAGTCATTGCATGCCGATCTTCTTGTATCTCGGTTGTGATAGTTAGTCAAGATTAGTTGAGTTGGAAAACTATCACAACTGAAATACAAGAAGATCGGCATGCAATAAACTCGTAACATTTGTCTGTAGCGACTGGGTCGCGACGATAAAATCGCGTGAACTCTGCCCGAGGCCTTACAGTTCAAATGCGGGCATAGTGTTGCACTGCGTTTCAGATCTGATAGTAAGAATCTTCCATTTTAAGGTAGGTTTTAGTTGAGAACTGACCAAGGTCATCAACACTCTGGAAAAAATACGTTGGACAATTACAAATTTTACTTTCCTGAGTTCAAAATGGAAATACTCCCTTCCATCTCAGAATGCAAAACTCTCTTGCGATTTTCAACAAGAAGGAAGAGGGAAAACTAGGGCGGTACATTATCAATCTCCTATATGGGAAGGGCTTCCTGTACAGGTCACAGCCCAAATAGGGCGGACAGTGGCGCTCGCGATCCATTCGGTTTAAAAATATGGTCCGATCCGGCAAGTTTGGCCATGTCGGGCACGGCAGATATGATCGTGCATCTCGACAGGTCGGGCTCTGCTGCCCGTTTGGGTCACGCGCTCCAAACTTTTAAATCATGGGATGGCGCTCTCGCCTGTCTGGGTACTCATTGATAATGCCCGAACAGCGAATAGGAGATTGGTAAGTACCACCCCTGATGTCCAAGGAGACTGCGCAAACAATGTATTACGAAGAACCTCAAAAATTTTGGCATGCTCACACCAAGCGTCAGAATTTTTGCATTCTGAGAAAATGCGAAGACCATCTAAGGTTTAGCCTGACAGTACGACCACTTAGCAGGGTAAAAAAGAGTAGTCCGTGGAGGATGAAGTGAAGTTGTGTCAAAACCATCACGCGTTTGAAACAAAATTTAAGCGTGTACGAGATTAGAATTGAAAAAAAAGGAAGAGATTTCCAAGCAGTCACGAAATTTTCGGAAAAATTATAACTTCCGTAGAATAGCAGCGTCAGCGTATAGGGGACTATCAGAACTGTCTCGTCCTCTGCTTTCAAAAAACACCTTTATTTCACGAGTACAACACGCAATTACACCAAAAAATTTCGCGACCAAAAAACTCTGTACCGTGCTGCTGCTTACCTGAATTGTGTGGGAGAGCAACCATTTTGCGAGGCACAGTGGTACGGGCGAGCCTTTGTTTGAAAAAAATGAAATTGCGTTTTATACTCATAAAATTAGGGTAATCTCTCCAAAGTATGTTATTCTAAGTGCCTGGTGAAATCGCGGGACTTTCTCAGGGTATAGCCTCCAAAAGCGTTTCCAGTGTAAAATGCATATTATCTCCCTGTATTTCAGAAGCCCAGTTATAGCAATGGACCCTACACAGACTTTATAACTTTCTTCCTGAAAGCGGAAGCAGGGCCTGTTCTGAAAGTGGCAAACGGACCCATAACGAATACGTTGTTACCACATTGAGTTTCCCCATTTCGCTCTTGATCGCGCCAACTACGCAGGATGTTTGGAGCGTTTCGTAAAACAGCGACTCGTTTGCTATTTTGGCTAATAAAAAAAGAGGACTAAAATCAATATTGTGCTATATCGTAAACATTCGACGTAGAACAAAGTCTTTGAAACCCTATGTGAACTGGAAGTTTTGAACCCGCAGGATGGCCTTAGGGTGGAATTTTTACGTTTTTTGGGAAAGAAGGTAGGCACGTTTTTGTTCACGTGAGCTTCTCATTCAATATCGAACTTAATTCTAATTCTCCACTAACCATATGCACACCAATTTCGGATCATGTCATCGAGTATGCGTTGCAAACGAGTCATTTTTCCATTTCTCAGAAGCATGAGACAGAAAAAAGCATACTGCAGCTTTCATTCGCATAATTTTTCTACGCATTTTCGAAGTTTGTTTCTCTTGACCCTTGTCCATCTACATTCCAGATTTGGTAGCATAATCTTATGTGTGAGCCGTAATCAAATCATTTGTTTACCGCTTATTGTTTGTGCAATGAAACTTGGCTTTTCAAAATGGCTCAAGCACGATCGACTTTGACACGTCAGCCTTGTACTTGGTCGTTAAAAACCAACTGCAAACCTTTTCTAAAACAACGAGACCAAAATAGGTTACTTATTTTTTTGAAAGCAGAAGATAAGTCGGTTCTGTAAGTTCCTTCTTCGCTGACACTGGTGTACACCTACAGTGTTATGGACTTTTTCACTCTATCGTACACTTCCTACTGCCATTTCTTGAAAACAGGACACAACATAATTCTATTTTGTTACTTTATACGCTTCAAAACATTTCAGCCCATGTTTTACTTCATTGTAACTCCCGAATCAACATGAACAGTTCTGTTTTATCTTTATCTTTTACACTCAAGGTGTACCATGCAAACTATGTAATACTGTCAGTATGGGGCCAGTTATAGCAGGTACTCACTAGTCCTTAGCACAATCCAATTTTTTTTGGCAATGAGGCAGGTTCGATTTTCCTTCGCTGTCGTTCCTTCCATCCTTTTCGTGATTTTCATCAGCAATATCTTTAAGAGAGGGAAAAAAGGAGGCGCCGTTCTATCGTACGGTTTCCCTTCCATGTCTAGCCTACGAAACTTACGAACACACCGTACATAGCGTTCATTTGTGTACAATAATGCATGCTACTCAGAGGTCCCTAGGCAAACAAAACATCAAAGTCACCTTCTCGCTTCATCAGATACTTGCCAATTGCTATGTATACACTTCTCAAATATTATGGTTTATAAGATTTTTCATAGTCTCACGATATATAATCGTCACGTCTCTCAATATTTTGTGTGGATCACAAGAGGCATAAAACAGCAATTTTGAGACAGTGCACTTAGCTAATTGTTCTAGATATCATATGAGGCAAGGCGTAAGCGCGGTACAGCCTTCCGTGTCCTGCTTCTCTATCAAGGAGCCTGCAGGAATCACAGCTGATTTTCAGCTAATGACACGTTCAAATTGTAAAAAAATTCTACTTAATACATTCACGACAAAGCCAATTTTTGGATCACTGCCGTTTCGAACCAGAACCTTTTTTGCTTTGTCAAACTTACGACCTACCCGCCCGTTGTATTGTTATTGTCCGGTGGTAGTCTTTTTGGGAAAAGTTCAAAACATGTCTCCGAGAATATGTCCAGAGCAGAGGAGTTATCAAAGGCGCTGGATATCGTATAATTTATTTTAGCTTTTGACATTATACTTATTACGTTAGTCATTCTGTGGAACCCAACATCATGGATTTTCATGAAAAAATTGTGTTTTGGGATTATTTCACAAACTAGTTGTGACTATCGTGTCCAATTTGCTCACTACTGTCCACAGTAGGGCTACGGTAGCAGCGCGGTGAAATTTTTGTAAAAACCAGAAAAATGATGTAATTATTCAAGAAACAGATGTAAGAATGCGGTATTAGAAAGCGACTAACATTTTCTTAACCAGCATGCTGCAAAACCTATATATGTAAGATTTCAGCTTTCTGGGATGAACAGTGCAAAAAATCAACAAATCTATAAAATCGATAATATTTGATGGGAAATCAGTCTCTTGCCCCCCCCCCCCAGATTTCTCCTGCTTGTTACTTGAGTGTTCAGAAACAGCATCACTCTGCAAAGAATTTGAGCTTAAGTCTATGCCTTATCTCTATCTACGGTAAACCCACCGTACCGTTACATTACAGTATCCCGAACCCGGACCACGCTGGCTGGTGCTTCTCCTAGGTGTTCCCAATCATGTGCCAGAACCCATAAAATTCCATCGAAAATTGGCAAAGCTAGAGCTTCCGGAATCTTAGGATCCACCGGTGGGTCGTATTGTCGTGAATGTGTTGAGTTACGTTTTCGAACACATTTACAAACTACCTAAGTACATGAATATTTTGGAGAAATGACAAAAATATCCCCTTCAACATGCAAAAAAGAACAAGAAACACGTTTGCAAGCCATAAGACACACAGAATATCAAAGCTTGCCCTCCGAGAAACACCAAAAACCATAGGTGACTACAGTACTCAAATAATTGTTTTTATAATCGAATATCTGAGAACAAAGTAATACCAATCTACGCATTTATTGAAGACTGGACACTGAATCTCATGAATTTTGAGATGTGGAAGATTCTTGAAATGATGAATTTTTATGGAAGTCATACGTAACGGGGTTTCTGGATCGCTTGGAGTATCTTGGCGCAATCATGACGAGATATGGCAACCTTATATAATTTTGTGCGTGGAATAAGGTAGTGAGTATTGCTCAAATTACTACCGGCCGAAAATTCTCGCGGATTCTGCGTTTCTTACTGCATCTTAAGTTCTCTCTTGTTGAATGTAAAGGTTTTCTACTAAATTTTTCAGCATAGTTTGGCGGTATTTGGGCGGAGATTTTTTAAAAACAAATTACAACAGAAAATGTTTTTGCACAGCTTCCTTCAATGAGCCAGGATTTTGTCTGACCTATCTGTAATGTGTTGGTTTCATGCAGCCTAAAGATTTATTCACTTCAACATTCGGAGCTGCGCTCTAGGTGCTTACCGTGTTTGGACTTTATTCCAGAGAAAGCGATTGGACAACTTGCTCTATGCAGTTTCTAAGGTATGAGTTATGTAAACTGTGATCTTTGTCTACGACCCAGTATTTCAGGAATTATTTATTCATCTGTCATTAGTAGTTTATAGTATGAACCAAGAGTCTTTGCGCTGTCATGTAGTACGAGCGTACGTCCCTCCCACTCTTACTACAGAAAACAGTATAAATTTCGAGAAGGTGTACATGGATAATGTATCGGATTCAATGCTGCAGATTACATTTGAAGTCGTTTCTGATAACTAGGGTAAATTTAGCAGCTCGATTGCATGGGATGCAAACGGCTTGAAGGAATTTTTGAAATTTTACTATGTAAGTTTATCTCCCTTTTCTAGAAAAACAAGTAGTCAGTATGCATGCTTAGAACTTTATTTTTTGGTTCTTTTCATATCGTGTTATTGTACGCACAGTTGGCCAGGTCAACGTAGTCCATCTCTTTGCAATTATATTTCAAGCAATGAGAGTAGTGCGCACGATCGCATTTTACATGGACCATTTTGATCTCGGGCATAAAACGTCCAACGTGGAGTAAATATTTTCGAAACTGAAGCACAGATTAATACATTGCAGTATCAAAAATGCACCTACCTCGTTGCATTGCGGTATGCGAACTTCAAATTTTCCTATAGTTATATGGTAGTCACCACCATTGCATTTCTCAACGAGGCGAATCTGCATGTCGTCTGGTGTAATCCCATGGCGATTACCGTAGCGAGAAATCTGATCATGACGACTTGAACAAAGATTTATAAAAAGCACAAAAAACTTACAAGGCTTTTGATTTCATACTCACGTACATGACAACATGGACTCATAACCGTGACCTCAACTTTGCTTACTTGTGGCCAATATGAGGAGTCATCAGAAGAAGACCCAAAGATCTGTTAATGAGTATGAAAATTAGGTTGTCTTTCATAGCGTAATTTGAGATCTTTACATCGTTCTAAAAATGCTTCCTCTGCAAACCTCAAAATGACACTGGATTTTTACTTACCAGGCAAAGCAAAACAACTAGTAAAAGACGAAACATTTTGCTTGTCAAGATCATCCTCCTCCTCTTTTATAGAAGTTTCTCGGCAATTTCGCTGCGATATGCGTGACTAACAGTGACGAAGCTAACAAGAATCTCTAATTAATTTGTATGTTTATAAAGGCGAGCAAAAGGTTCCATCTAACATCTTAAGGTACTGTAAAGGAAGGCTGATATTTCGAAAGCTTTGTAAGTAATTATTATGCGGTTATCGCGAGAACACTGCCGTAGACAGCAGAAATTGTGTTCTCTTTCTTTTTCTTTTACTGGAATAGCTTCCTTCTTTCTGCTTCCCTTAGAACAGCATCGCTTACCAGTCCTATTCATGTAACATATGTGATCTAAATAGACCCATTTTTTTACTCGAAGTTTCTGAAAAGCGAACGTTCAAAAACTAAAACACCCGACACTTTATTAGACCGCGCATAATTGCCATGATATTCCAACCACAATATTATAGCGTTATGTCGCCCCTTCGATGCAAGTATCGAATTTATTGACACCTATTTGATTAGGACTGTTACTGCTGTCCAATCGAATGAACACCTGAAAGACCTGAAAATTAGTGGCTTATAAATGTGCTGTATGCAGTTACATGTATAGTTGACTGCACCGAATCGCCAAAGCTGAACACCCGCAAGCATTCTTGCGGACTAGCATCGGCATTCGCGCGCATGAATCATCATAGCTCCTCGGCAGCCGCGTTGCAGCCATGCTCGCGACGTTCAAGCTACAGCGATATGGGCTATTTCTTGCAGTCGACTATATACATTGTAGTTCTGCGAATAACTCTTTCACGAGCGTAGAGTTATCTCTCATTATGAGACTATTTTGGTTAATTTTTAGCAACCTTAAAACTCCAATAGGACAAAAGTGCAGCCTTTCTAAAAGCTCCGTTCAGTGCTGATCACATTGTCAACAAAAAACTACTTCTGGCCCTTAAACATGAATCAAAACGTATCTCTCCACTCACAATCAGTGTCACGCTTATCGCTTCTCAGGTCTGAAGCTCGCATTGCAGGGCTAAAGAAATTACAAGATAAACTATTTCTTATAAGATAAGGACATACAGGCTACTGCCAAACGAAGGCGCAAAGCGTGGAGAGTGCGAGCGCATTTTTAGTAGCCGCAGAGCGCATGAGCAGAGTTCGCATTGGTGGAGATACGTCTCGCTTGCGGTCACTGAACCAATATTACTTTTCGCCTTCGTTCGGCGGTAGCCTTTACACAGAATATCTTCTATGAAAGTGCAAAATCCTCTTGAAACTTAGAGACTACTTACAAGGGAATGGTCAGAAATCGAAGTGGCTAATTCGAGCAAGCCACGTACCGTTAGATGCAGCATAAAACGCTGACTCTAAATTTGCTTTCCCTATCTGCAGAGCGCTTTTGTGGATGAAATTATAAGCCGTTAAAAGCCGTTATTTTGCTAAGAAATCGTGCGTGTAAAGGTCAAACTTGACCGTACAGAGCCATTTTCGGCTCAGTGTTGGACCAAAATATGCAACTAGGTCACTTCGTATGGCTTGCACTAGAGGTGAGCTAAAAGGGCAATAATGTGCCCAATTTGGCAATTTTTGTGTACGGTTTTTTGGCCGTAAAGCTGTTCATAACTTCGCCTACAAAGGCGCTCTGCAGTTATGGAAGGCAGATTTGACAGCGTTCTATGCTGCATCGAATGGTATGCAGCTTGTTTGGATTGGCCACTTCGACTTCTGACCATTCCCTTGTTAGATCTTTCTAAGCTCATTCGTTACCGATAAAATCATCGCATAATCCGAAATTTAGAGGATTTACGCACACAACTCATATATCTGCGCGGAAAGACAAGGAAGTGTAGACAATGAGTTGTATGTGTCAGATAATGAGTTGTATATGTAACTCCTCTGAATTTCGAATGACCTTGGTAACGAGCGAGACTAATAGTCTCTCTAAACCTCTTCAAGCGCTGCAGTGCGAGCTTCAAACCTGCATAGTGATACTGAGTGATACTTAAAGAAGGGATACTTTTGAGCTCTATGCGTAAGGCCCCGGGCAGACTTCACGCGATTTGATCGTCGCGACTGAATCGCGACGAGACAACTGCTACAACATCATTCCATGCCGATCAACTTGCATTCGGTTGTGATACTTTTCCAGCCCGAAATTTTTGAATGTGAAATGAAAATGAATGGAAATCTTGGCGATTAGATCGCGACGATTAAGTCGCGTGGAGTCTGTCCGGGGCCTAAGGACGAAAAGTAGTTAGTTGCTGAGAATGTAATCAGCACGTCAACGGAACTTTCAGACTAGTCACTTGAGTCTTACTTAACTCTTAATCTGCTCAAGAAATTAACCGCGTAGTCAATCAAAGTAATCTCAGAATTAAAGAAGAAGCTATGATCGTATTTCCCGGAAATCATAACCGTTGGCGAGCTTCAAAGAGTATGTTGCGTGCTGTTTGTGCTTCCCTAATGAGAGACTTCTACCGTATCTTTAGCACCATAGGTTTTACGCCATGACCAGTCTTGGTGCGGCCAAGTTTCCGTAATGGCGTATTCCAGGAGGAGGCGTAATGGGATGGAACATACTGGGGTTTGCAGCTTTTGAAGCTGGTACTGTCGCATGTAGATCATTTTTTCATATTCGTTTTCCTCCTGAAAAGCAATGGAAGTAGATAATCTTGGCGTTTGCAGCATTTGATTGTCATCGTACTCACGTCCATGCACATACACGCTATTCTGACCTCGCAAAGTAAAAACGGTAGCAAAATGTTGACAAACATTCGCTCAACCATGCTTGAATTCGCTTGTGCTTGGTCTGATCACTCGCATATGCATAAATACAGCTATAACAAGTTTATTTCGCATTAGTTGAATGATGTATTACTGTAGTGGATTTGGCGAAGAATCTTCTGTTTAACCTGAGCGAGGAGTATAACGACGGTTCGGCTCAAGATAGTTTGCTGATGAATTCCCTTTTAGATAGTAATCGCAATCATTACTGGCAATAGCCATCTGCTCGTATTCGTCTAGCAAGCACGATCTAACCATGCAAATCGTGGCAGAAATACGGTCGCAGATGACGTGGACCATTTCGATGTTGTATCTGGTGGTTTGAGGTTATACAAGTACTTTTCAAACTGAAAAACATACAGAAATTGTGCAATATTTCAGAAAATATAAAGTCACCTCGCTACAGTCCATAATGTATGCTTGATACCTTTCTAGATCTACATCATTCTTACATCTTCTTTCAGTGACATCCACTTCATCCCACTGCAGACCATATTTGTTACCATAATCACCAAACTCAAATAATTTGATATTCAATGGCAGAACAACGTTGGTGAATGCCTTACAAGTCTGCCGATGTTGCCAGTTCTAGACATTGGCAGATTCCTTCAATTTGATTATGATTTCTACCTTGTCTCTCTCTATCCATTGGAACAAGTCACCATGGGACTGTTCAAGCCTAGTGGAAAACCTTCAATGGCAAGAGCACATTACTACCTTGAAAATATGCTATATTTCGATTATTCAAAACTTGCGGCACTTACCATGTAAAGCAGAAGAAATGGCAGAAAAGAAGTCATCTTGTTGGAGTGTGTTTCTGTAAAATATTGTCTTTTATATAGATCTTGAGCGTTGCTTAGACTAATAGGTGAGAATTGTGCAGAATCTTTCGGTTACATTAGCTTACATGAAAGCGTCGACCATGGGTAGCGGAACGAAAGTCGCCAGCTTCGGTCGCATGCGCGGACTGCTGGTCCTGGAACGACATGCTACAACGTTGCGAAAGGACCAGTTAGCCGCGAAAGGCGGCTCAAACTGGCGGCTCGTTCCCCTACCCGTCGACCATCAATATAGAAAAACGTTTGAATGCAAATCACCATATGTCAGGTCTTGACAGGAATCTGAATGCCTCATAATGCTGTCATTTCTGATAAAGAAATCTCACAAACATCCATGATAATGGGAACTCTCAAACCTTTATGAGTTCATTCAGAATTATAGACACATATTTTAGAATGTGTCACCCATTCCCATCCAAGTTTCATGCATTAACTTTTACAAGAAATTGTCAAGAAATGAAGGTGAGGCAAAACTAAACCTTGGCAATTACTCACCGAAAATGGGATTTGGGTTTTTTGTGTATTACAAGCCTTAAGCCTTTCTAACTCTGTTTGATCCTCGCGGGTTTAAACTTGTATAAGTTAGTCCACTTTTTTGGAAGTCTCCAGGCAACTTGGACAAAATGTGTTTTTCTACTCTAGCTTGCGCTGCAGAAATAGGCATGTAAACGAGAGGGATATCGCCTGAAAGAACATGTTGGAACATGGAAGGGTACGATGTGTTGCCATTGCGGGCAAAACGCTCTTTACGGGCTACTTTGAGAACATTCTGGGGTCGAATCAGGTCGGATTCGGACAATGGCTTTAAAGGCAGCGGCTCGGCAGATTTCCGACCAGAAGTTCTTTTTGCTTACCTGGGTAATTCGAGGCCCTTATTCCAAAGACCCACCTTAAAGAGCGCGAAAATGGCAAAAACCCCCGGTTTTTAAGGCTTCCCATTTTGAATTTGGACGAGTGACGGCTCCCGGGTGGAGGAACGAACGCCTCAATTTGGCACCGCCTCCGCGGACTACTGGTCCCAACACGATGTACAACAGTAGGACGAAAGGACCAGCAGCCCGCAGAAGCGGCGCCTAATTGAGGCGTTCGTACCTCTACCCACGGCTCCCCGCTATGGTTAGAGACGTAGAGTCGTTGCAGGACACTCGCAGTTATAACATTGCGGCATGCCTTCGCTGAAGGTCAGAGAGAATCGCAAGCTCGTCCTCGCGTACTAGAATGGCTTGCGCGTACAGTCTGCCCCAATCCTAACCAGGCCAAAATTGGCATGGCGGGAGTCCGCGTCGCTAGGGTTTCGCGGTCACGCCAACGTCCTGTTTCTCTGCTCTCTCTTCAATCCTTTTGCTCCCTCCGACAGCGCGCCTATGCAGCGCAGACCGATAGCGCTGCGAGCGCGCAAATTCATGCCGACGATTCGGCCTGATCCCAATTGGAGCAGGCTGTAAGGGGTTTTCTAAGCAAGGGCAGCATGCTGTGCGATCGGACCTGCTCTGTTCTCAGTTTGGGGTGCAAGCAACCTACCATGTCAAAATTTCGGGATGTTCGGTTTTGGCGAGCTGCTGCCTTTTAGGGACCCTCTTAGGCCTAAGGCATACCTTATGCGATTCCGCTAAATTGCGACGTTCAACCGAACTGGACTTTGCCAAAATCTCCAATTTGTCGTGCACGGTCCCACGACACATGGACGCGTAGCATCTGTGACTTGTTGCAAACCGATCAGGTTCGGCCTTAAACTATGAACAAACTTACGAACAGTCGTTCCGGTACCAAATCGCGCAGCGACTGGAATCGCGTGAGGTATGCCTTATTCCTAAGAGACTACGTGGGGACCCACTACATTAACTTTGGTGAGTGCTGCCTTTTTCTCTGTTTGAATGACGAAAGTAATAACAGTGTTTGCTTACACAAGGAGCAACATAGAAAAGCAAATGATCGTGTAAACGTGCGCCACCTCATGTATATTTGAGCATTAATTTCATTTTCATTTTCATTTGTACGCTCAAGGCGTTCCATTAAAAAAATCAAGGCATTATGACTTATAACAAAGCGCTAACGTCTGTCTTTTTGTGCGTGACTGTATGTCTGTCAAAATTCATGGAGCATATTGCAGCCAAGGTCTCAAACCAAAATTTTACACAACGTAGCGTACCAGCATGTAGGCTCACCACACGCACACGCAAGGACGATCCGATCCAATACGCGGATCTTCAATAATTGTGCGTCAAGCATGTCCATTCGGCGTTTGGTCTGCAAATCTAGCTCACGATGATAGTTGTCTATAGGGCGACTTTGAAGCCAAAATAATTTCAGTAATCAATTTATACACAATTGTCCTTCCGCAGAAAAGTTCGTTCTCTCAAAATTATCTATCTTACATGGAAAAGTTCTGAAAATGGAAGTTGTTTACAGTCAATTTCTGATCTCCAGCGTTGAACGGTGAGTTTCCAATGGGAGAAGGATGTCATGCATGTAGATAACAGAATCATTAGAAACCTTGTTCGAAGCAGAGATGAGCACTGGTATGTATAAAAATACAATGGTACATAATGATAATTAACATACATTAGAAACCTAACTCCAATCTGTCATCCATATCTGCTGAAGAGCCATGCAAGATGTTTTATTGCAAGAATTGGCATACTGTCTAATTCATCGGGATTGACGGGTGGAAGGCGATCGCTTGCACCCGTAAATGATATGTATGTGTCTTTCTTGCAAGCGCTCTCCTCTAAGCATTTTCTAACCTTGAATGGGCCTCGAAACCCTACCTTCCAGTCGCCAAATCCGTTGAATCAATCATCATTGTGCAACTCAAAATATCAGAATATCACATGAGTACACTTTCAGGCATGAACAGTCTGTGTCAACAACGTGCTCCCCTTTCCGTGAGCGCAATCGGCTCGCCAGAGCTTCGCTCCACTTTCGGTATGCTCGCATGCAAATTGGCTCAATTGGAGATCCGCACGCAAGGCCCTTACATTGCGCATGCATAGTTCCCATGCGCCAGCACTGCCGGCATTTTGCGCGCGCAATTGGCCGGAGTACAGTCAAAGCTATCTGTGCAAGCACACTATATTGAGCGAAAAATCTACTCGACTGTATGTGATTGACACAGGCTGTATATAAAGGAACCAGTGCGGTCCCAGGATTTCCGTCCGAGGTGGGGGAGGGGCGGCAAAAATTTTTTGAATGAGGGGGTGGTCTCAGCCACGCATTCCGAAAAATTTTTTGGGGTGCTTCTCAAAATTCTTGGGGCCCATGACCCCTAAGATCTAAAAAAGTCCTTTTTTACAAGGCTAATTTAAATTTTCAAAAGATTCTGAAAATTCTTTTAATGATTTTCAAGAGCAGATTTTTGCACTTTTAATAACCATGCGAGTAAATTTCAGAGATTTCGCGACTTATTCGTGGGGGAGGAGCACCCCCCCCCCCATTGGTGCGTCACTGAAAGCAAGCTATGTGTGTGTTTTGGCTCAGTATCAAGCCGAACACAGATCTGTACGACCAATCTGCCCTTTCCGTATACGATTCCCTTGCGATATCATGGTGTATTTCGTGTGCAGAAATGTTTGGCAGTTGAAGGCAAGCGTCTCACTAAAATTGGGTAGTGCGAATCTCCACACATTCTACTAGAGGGCCTCCTAGATATGCCACTGCAATAAGTCTTAACGAAATCTCCCCCCCCCCCCTCAGCTGAGAAGAATGCGCGCAAAGTGGTACGCGAGGAGGGATTTGGTACGCGACTTCTCTGGTCTACCTCCATTACGCGTTTGAACATGTCTCTCCGCTTGGCGCCCACCTCCATTGTGTTGCTGCCACTGTGGCGCAGGTTGAAGCTAGAAGGCACAACTCGTCCAAGTTGCTTCCGTAAATCCTCCAGAAAATGGGATTTTAAGAAATTAGTACGTATTTGAGCCGCTTTACTGTTAAACGGGGTCTGGTAGGTTTGTAAGACGCAAAAATCTCCGCAATCAAATTTTGGTGAGACACTGCCTTTAAGGAAAGTAAATCCGGCATCAGCGTTCTGTATTGCATCCATTGACAGCTTGCTGAAAATAGCCATCTTCTGACCTTTCACTTGTTAGATATATGTCTTGCAAGTTTAACTGTTTTGAATTTTGCAGTTTCTATGATAAATAAGCTTAGAAACATCCTGTGCCTTAAAATAATTTCGCGCTTTTTGAGAGGTCAGTTCCATGCAAAACTGCTGGTTATTGCCGCATGGCGCCAAAACAATATCAACTGAGGGGGGGGGGGGGGCGAACCAGGCGAGCCTTTTGTTCACCGTTGTGAACCCTCCCTCTCATGCGCATTGCAGCTAATAAAAACGCCTCCCTCCCCCTCCTGGGTTTTTCACCCTCGTCCGGCAATAGCTTATAGGATGAATTCAATAATGAGTAAATATTTCCTTATTTAAAAAAAATGAAGAACCATTCTTAAAGGTCTATAATTGCTGCAGTACGAGCCACTTTATGCCGCAAAGTGAACTGAGTGAGATGCTTTCTGGTTATGCGCAAGCGCCACGAGTATTGTTGAGAATGTAATCATTATGCGAATGAAATTTCTAGAATCTAGTTACTATCATCTCATATAAGCAGTAATCGATTGCTGAACCATTTGTAGATATTAGCCCTGTATAGCAAATTTGAGTAATTTTTTGAATGAGGAATAAATTTATGATCATGCTCTTAAAAAATGCTCACTACCGTTGACGAGCTCTTACGAGTAGTAAGTTGTGATCGCTCTTGTACTTTCACTAAGAAAAATAGTTCTTCTAGCCTAAATTTGGTGGCTAGTAACACGCCATGGGAACTCTTAACTAAGTGCGGTCAAATTTTCATAACTTGTGTACTCCAGTCAGCGGCACATTGGGGAGCGACATACATGGTGTTGCAGCTCGTTCTATAACTGCATTCAGGTTTTCTTTTCAACCTTTCCCCTAAAGAGCGATGGAAGAAGGTAATCCTGACATTTGCAGCATTTTGGCTGCCACTGTACTCAACGCATGGGTAGACACCCTGTTCTAAGCTCGCATTATTTGAATAGAACGAAAGCAGCTTTGCATTGGCAAACTTCCACTTACCCTGAATTTTGCTTACATTCTTGGGTTCATATAGAACTAGAACTATTATAACTGTCACAGGTTTATTTCGCATAATCCACATGCGATATCACTGCAACGGAATCAAAAGCTTGCCCTTCAACTTCACTATTAAGTAGTATACCAATAGGGGCGAGTAGTGAGATAATAGGGGTAACCCCCTGATCCTCCACCCGTTCCTTCCTCGCGGTGAACGCAATCATAACTGTCAATGGCCATCTTCTTGTACTCGCTCGGCGAGCAAGATCTGGCCATGCAAATCGTGGCAGCAATACGGTCGCAGATGACGTGGACCATCTCGATGTTGTATCTGCGTGGTTTGAGACTATACAAGTACTTTTGGAACTGAAAAACATGCAAAATTCTGGAGTATTTCTGAAATTATAATATCACCTCGTTACAGTCCATAATGTACGCTTGATATCTTTCCAAACCTGTTTCATTTTTACATCTTTCTCCTTCAGTCACATCCATTTCATCCCAATGCAAACCATATTTGTTGCCATAATCACCGAGCTCAAATAATTCGGAATTCAGTGGCAAAACAACGTGGATGAATGTCTTACAAGTTTGCCAATGTTGCCAGTTTTGGACATTCTGGCATAGTCTTTGAATTTGATTATGATTTCTACTTTGTCTCTCTCTGTCCATTGAAACACTTCACCGAGAGATTGTCCAAGTATCTGGTGGAGCAAAAATTTGGTGACAGAAGCATACTAATAATGGTTGCCTCGAGATCTGCATTGATCTAATTATTCAAAATTATGCGATTCTTACCATGTAAAGCAGAATTGGCAGCAAAGGAGACATCTTGTTGGAGTGTTTGAGAAGTATCGTGTTTTATACAGATCCGAGAGCGTTGCCTAAACCAATTGCTAAGAATGATGAAGGATACTTTCTGAGCACATTAACATACATAAAAGCCTCGATCATCAGAAGAAAAAACTATTTGAAGCAAACTTTCAAAGAAAACTAGAAATGTGATGACACTCAAAAATGTTCAAAAAGACATTCAAGAAATAATTTACCGATATTCTTTTACACGATATCAAACACATTATAAGATGTGCCACCATTTTCCATCCAATTTTATGTGTTAACTATTATCAGAATTTGCGAGAATTGAAGAAAAGGTGATATTAAACATAAAAAACTTCGATATTCATATCTGAAAGACGAAACTCATAAAAGTGTTTGTTTGCAAAGTGAGCGATACTGTAGAAAGACATCGAGTTAGGTCTCTCTTTTGTTGAATCCATGTAGAGGTCATAAATTCTGAAGAACATTTGCGCTTAGGTTAATCAAAATCATACATCAAAAAATTTGTATTGACCAAAGCACTTCCTACTACTTTATGCAAGTAAACCCTTCAGAACTGAAACAATAGATTCAGTCGAGGCATGTCATTTTCAGATACAGCACCGGTACTTTTCCGACATCTTTCTAATCGAATGCACCTGCAAAAAGCTCAAAAATAAATATTAATATCATAAGCTCATTATTCCGCTATCAATGGACATATTAGGGCTGCCCAAAATAGGAAAGTGGCTAGGGTTCCACTAACTGAGCGGTGAAGCAAGCGGCAGCAAGGTTATTTGAGGGAAGTGGCTCGGGAAGATTGCGACTGCAGGCTTTTCACGACAGCATGGCCTTCTGGACCAGCTGAGTCCGGTACTGCGCTCGAAAATTCAAAAAAGTGCTTTTTTGGCGTTTCCGAGACTTGTAGATTGCTGGGCAGGCGGAGCGAGGGATTCACCCCAAAATGAGCAAACGGCTGCAGGAGACTGTAATTCCACCTATTTTGGCGGCAACTGGCTGATCAGCCTAGGCAATTATCGCGATACAGTTTGCCACCAAAATAGGTGGAGTTACAGTCTCCTGCAGCCGTTTGCTAGCCGCTTTTTAACCTTTTAGCCACCACTGGCCGGTTTTTCAGGGAAGCGCAAAATCATCAAAATCTTGTTGCTGTAGATTGGTTTTCCTGGCGCTCACTTTCCCTCCCGCATTTCAACCATATTTCGTCAAAGTTTCTTCGCGGTTATTTTTTAAGTGTTTTTTTTGTTTCAATCATATCCTTGGCCGGTGCTCATCTTGAATAACTCTGTAATGTGTGAGTGTGGAACTGCACATTAGCGGCAATAGGAAGAAAGGAGCGTGGAAGATAGAAAGCGTGGGCGGGCGCCCTCAAAATAGTAAGAATTGGTGATTTTGCGCCTCTATAACAAAAACGGCCAGCGGCGGCTACGGGCTGCTGGCGGCTGCTGCCGGCGCGGTATGAAGGCACCCTAAGGATTGCTTTCCAAAATACAGTGAAACAGCCGAGCAGCTCGCCAAAAAAATCGAAAAAGGTGCGTCTTGAACGCATGAAATTAAGTAATAGTTGTCGCTCAACTAAGATAATCCATACTTTTTTTCTATTTATTCTTTCTAATGATACCATACAGTTGTACATTTTATTTGTAACAACCAACATATTAGAGATTTTACGTTTTGATGACTACATATTTAGCAAACGTCATATAATGTCCCGAAAGCAGCTTTTTGAGGGCATTTATTGTACAAATAAGTAGATTTGCCACCGAATTTTAGCTCGCTAAAAGGCTCTACTTAATCGTCAATGTCGGTAGTTGTCGGATGTTGTATTGTTGCTCACGTGAAATGTCACAAGCTTTTAGACCAATTCAACAATTCTGTGCTTCCAGAACGCCTCAAAAAAGCTAACATTTGATAGAAAGAAAGCTTTTCAGGGGGGGGGGGGGGGTATAAAGCTATTGAAGTTCAATGCGCGAGCAGTGGGTGCAAATTCACCAACCTTCATGATCATGCAGAGTCCTACACTGCTCATAGTGATACAATTAGGAGTGGTTGCATTATGTTCCTGAGATTCCTTCCATTGGGGCAGCCGCAACGTCTCCCATCTACTGCCTTTGACCCATGGTAGAAAAGCACCTTTATGCTTTACAAGAGCGCTAAAGGAGGCGCGAAAGGAAAATCATGTAAAGTGGTGGTAACTATGGAAGGAATGCTAAATACAGGATATTTGCTTTTGCTTCTCAAACATGTTCAAAAGTTTTTACTTTTACTTTTTGCATTGTCAAGCTTTGCATGTATTCGATCAAAAATCAATTATTAAGATAACTGTGACTTTTACTTTGGTACCATGTGGAAAATTTGGGATGCCAGCGGGAGAAGATCCAAGATTCTAACCAGAAAGAATTGATCACAGTTGATTTTCCAAGACCTTGAGCCAGCTTCTCAATTAGTGCGCTAAAATCGCTCAAACTCTGAACTAAGAAAATGTTTTTGGTCGATTGAGTATATCTGGATTTGCAATCACCATGCAGAGTAGAACAAAACTTAGGAAACGAAACATCTCGCGAGGGTGCTTGTACAAAACAACAACAACGCCAACGTCTTTTAAAGAAGCGCGGGAGCCGGGAGCATATATTGCATGAGTAATACAAAATGACAAAGCAAGGAAACTTTTTTTAATTTAGTCGAACATTTACGAAAAACAAAAGAGCAAAGGTATATGGGCAATGCAATGAAGGATGTTGTTGCAATGCTCAAAGAACAAATTGTAGTTCATGCTGCTAACTCATAACATGGGACGGACATTCAAAGGACCTTCTTATTTTCAAATTCATAGCAATCCTTTTTGATTTTTACAGAGGTAATCTTTGAATAGAACAACTTCCTTCTTCTTTTTGCTTCCTTAAGAATTGCTTCACTTTCTGGCTTACTCATGTAATGAAAAATCATGCATCCTGATATAGAAATGTGAATGAGTGTTCTTAGGCGCCGACATTTCATAAAACAAAATCCTCGGAAAAATGACATTTAGTCGCAATATTACATCGTTACATTGCATTCTCTTATGAATTATTCACTGGCTCCGGGACAAAACTGAGACTAAAATGTTCTTTTGAAAGAATATAAGAATGTCGTTAGTGAATGTTGTTGAAGCATGTCTATCACGATTTCGGTACAGTGACCGTACTTCAATAGTAAAATTGTGAACGATTTTGAATTCGAACTAGAGTAATTCAATATTGCCCACCAGCTGGATACTATTATAGTGGAGAGTACACTGATAATTATCGTGTCGAAATACGATTATAATTTTGAGAAAGGGATATTTTTAAACATTAGCAAAGAGCCGTGCACGTGCGGTGTGGATTATTTACCACTAATTTATGGCAGAGAGATATTATATGTAATATCATCTTTATAGATGTAAGACCGACAATTTGATATGTTCCAGAATGAAAACTTCCACTTTGATGTATTATTATAGTTCTCTCAGTCGAAGAAGCTGGGCTGAGCGATGTTTCTGGACAAATGATTCAACATACTCCTCAATTCTGCCAAATCGCGATGTCCCTACTTTTTAGCTGCTTAACATTTTCATTATAGAAAATAGTCCATAATGCCTGCGCGCAAGTACTGCACCGTTAAGGACTTGGACTGCTCTCCTTTTCCATATATCCTCCTTAACTACTACAAGGAAAATGTTTCCCATGTTAGTAATAGTAGTAGTATCTAGCAACCTGTAGATACGGTATGTGTTTTTGTACTTGCCATTCACTATTTTTTATTTCTTGATGCACCTCGAGTGTAATAAATAACGATAAAGATGATAGTTCTTATATTATGTAAAAGTTAGTTTCTTCTACGTTCTTATGCATTTTCACGTTCATAAAGCTTGCTAATTTGTAGCCACTTGTCCTTGAAAGGACCATAAATCAGATCTGAACTTCTTCCTTTTTTGCTCCATTTCTCAATTCAAACAGTCAAAAATGGAAGCATATGTAATGCTTGCTGGCGACTTGCTCTCAAAATCCTCTTCGAAGTGTAAGCCGCTTGCGCTGAGAACGTGTGGACTTACGCGGCCCCTTTTCTCGTGCTCTCTCGCCCTTTTCTCATTTTTTCTTCATTGATGGACTGTCTTCGGTGAATGTAGCAGCGCTGTCTCGCAGAACATAAACGGTTTTCGGGTCTCAAAAAGTTCAAATTAACAATCTTCAACACAAACATGATTTGTTGGGTGGCCCCTACATCACATATTGTTGCGCGATGCGATACAATCACGGCAATTCCGTGTACAGCGAGAATAAGCGGTTTACTCCGGTAAAAGCGTAAAGCTGTACGGTATGAGAGCCGAAAAGGAACATTTTATTGCTAAGAAATTGTATGGTTTGATACAGTGTTTAGCCGAAATTTGGTTGAAGCAGATTTTATGCTGTTTCCTTACATCTGTAAATATATAGAACTCAAAAGTTTTTTTTGCAAATTTTAAGGATGTATGTTACCAATTTCTCTTCAAGAGGCTGATTGCTCTGAATTCTCCTTTAAAAATAAGCTGCGGCGAAGAAGGTTCTTGGATCAATTTATTGATCTGTTGATTTTAGAATAATGCATGCAAGAAGGAAACACTGGGAAGTTGAAAGGTGAAAGAACGGAAGAATTGAAAGGAGAATAAGCATCGCTGCCTAATCGAATATATCGTTTGACGGTCCCGCTCCATGCCGGCGTGAGACTCGTAATGCTTGCTAGTTTCATTTATGTGTTCACTAGATGGCTTACCCGGCTCCGCCCGGCCCTGTCAATAATATATTTGTAATCAGCATGCTCGATTACCCCCCTGTGCCAACTCCCAGCCCTGTAGCTCAAATTTTGCAAAAAATCGATAAAATCGATATCGATCGATGACGAAAAGTAGCCTATGACAACCGCTGGGGCCCGAAGTGTACGTGTGCCAGGTTTGGTCCAGATCGGTTCAGAAATGGAATTTTCTATTCGGAACATACGTACAGACATACATACAGACATACAAACATACAGACATTCATACAGACAAACAGACATTCAGCTTTATATTTAAGATGACAAGGGTATTCAAATGAAAGTGTTGGCTATCTCTGAAAAATAGAACCTTTCTTTTGTTGCATCACCCTATACGCACAAATCCTCTGGACTTACTGTGTCGAATAATCTCGAAGATATTGATAAGGACAGTGGCGTATTAACGATTTTCGAAAAAAGGGCGTGGCGGCCCACGTCCCCAAAAAATCCATTTGTAAGGCTGGATTGAATGTAAAATTTTTAGAAATTATGTAACTATTTACAAGTATAAACAATCGCTTGCACATCTTTATAACTCATGTAAGTAACTTTCAAAAATTTCGCGACCCATTCTCGGGTCCCCCCCCCCCACTTTGGTACGATTGATAATGGGGTGATGTTCGCATGAGGGGATTTCATTGGTTGTTATTGCTGACAATGTGCATCATAAATCAATCTTCTTCAAACCATTTTTTTTATTCAGATCAGATATCATTATCTGAATAAGTACAGTTTAAACCATTTTTTCCTCAACCCAATGACAGATATTGAACCCCATACTTCTGTGCGATAAGATATAAGTAATTACGCTGGACTTCGCATACTGCTGAAATAAGGGTAATTTTCATCCAAGGAAAGGATATTTGCTTACTTCCCCGCGCAGCCTCGTTTAATCTTATTTGAGCAGTTCATTTTGTGATGGAAACACTACACATATACATATATGTTCATGAATGCACTGTATACTCAATTTGCCGCTAAAAACCCAAAAAGTGGTAGCACGTTAAGCTGTACGTCAAGTATATGAGTACTACCTGTGCATAGGCTATAAGTTAACTAGGGCCATAGTAAGAGTGTATTTCTGCGTTACTATATCTATTTTGCAACAAAAACTTCATTTTGGATTAAGTATCTAGGGTAAGTGTGTAGCATACTTTTCCTTTCAACTAAAGTCTTGAACTTTTTTTGTAATGACCCTAATGGTTTCGCGTCAACTTTCAAAGTGAAATCTAAAACCTCATTGAATCAGAAGGTCTTCCAGACCTTTCCTGCACATAATAACGTTGTGAGACTTGATAGATACGTGAATACGACAGACATTATGATTATGTATAAACGCATCCATCGCCTTATTAACCAATAAACTGAAGTGCAAGAAATTATTAATTTAATGGCTCGCTTTGTGATGCCCGAACATCGCTAAGAAAATTCAACCATTTTATTTTTCACTTTTCGAAAATTTGATATGACAGCTCAAGATCGTATGCCTCTTGACTTTAACTCATTTTCCACTGAAGTTAGTGGAAGGCTGAAAAGGACTGCAATCATAACTGGTAATGGCCATCTGCTTGTATTCATCTAGCGAGCATGATCTAGCCAAGCAAATCGTGGCAGCAATACGGTCGCAAATAATATGGACCATCTCGATATTGTACCTCCGTGGTTTCAAATTATACAAATACTTTTGAAACTGAAAATCATACAAAATTTTGCCATGATTCCGAAAATATGGAGTCACCTCGTTGCAATCCATAATGTGCGCTTGATACCTTTCCACAACTGTTCCACTTAGTTCTTTCAAGTAGAGAAAGTCGAAGCGTTTAAAGGCAGCATCTCGCCTTAGTTGAGGTTGCGAGGGTCTACAAGCGGGGGCCACTGCTCAAGTCTGACTCAATTCGGCCCCCTCTCAACATTGCTCCCAAAATGGCCGCAAACGAGACTTTCCCCGCCCTGGCAACTCCTTGGTTTCTCTTTCGTCTTTGAAATCCAAATAAACTACTAATTACAAGGAAAACGTTTCCCATGATAGTACAAGTATAGTATCTACAGCAACCTGTAGATACGGTATGTGTTTTGGTACTCGTTTTCATTCACTATTTTTTTATTTCTTGATGCACCTCGAGTGTTATAAATAACGATTAACGAACTCAATAACGATAAAGGTGATAGTCTTTATATGATGTAAAAATTATTTTCCTACATTCTTATGCATTTTCATGTTCATAAAGCTCGGTATTTGTAATCACTTGTCTTAAAAGGACCATAAATTAGACTTGAACTTCTTCTTTTTTTCCTCCATCTCTCAACTTCAAACAAGCAAAAGAAATGTTCTTAACCTGTGTAATGCTTGTTAGCGACTTCCTACAAAATCCTTTTTGAAGTAAGGGCGAAACACTGAGCGAGGATTTGTGGACTTCCGCGGAACTTTTTTTCGCGCACTCTCGCCGTTTTTTCTCCTTCCTCTCCGTTTCTGTTACGAACTGTCTTTGATGGACGCAACAGTGTTGTGTTCCACGCAGCACTGTTGTTCCATGCACGGTTTTTAAATAGCCGTAAACATCAAACCGAAAAATTTCCAGCACAAACATGATCTGTTATGGTGGCCCCTACATCGCATGCTGCTTGAGCGCGATGCGATCATAGCACTTTTTTATATAGCGAGAATAAGCGAATTATTCCAATAAAAGCGAAAAGCTGTACGGTAAAACCGAAAAGCAAAGTTTTATTGCTAAGAGATTGTATGGTTTGATACAGTGTTTAGCCGAAATTTGGCTGAAGCAGATTTCATGCTGTCTCCTTACATCTGTAAATATATAGAACTCAAAAGTTTTTTTTGCAAATTTTAAGGATGTATGTTACCAATTTCTCTTTGAGAGGCTGATTGCTCTGAACTCTCCCTTATAAATAAGCTGTGGCGGAGAAGGTCCTTGGATCAATTTATTGATTTTTTGATTTTAGAAAAATGCGTGCAAGAAATAAACGGTGGGAAGTTGAAAGGCGAAAACGGAAGAACTGAAAGGAGAATAAGCACCGCTGCCTAATCGAATATACCGTTTGACGGCCCCGCTCCATGCCGGCGTGAGACTCGTAATGCTTACTAGTTTCATTTAAGTGTTCATGGCAAGGGTATTCAAATGAAAGTGTTGGCTATCTCTAGACTATAAAACCTTTCTTTTGTTGCATCACCTTATGCGCACAAATCCTCTGGACTTACCGTATCGAATAATTTCGAAAATATTGATAACGACAGTGGCGTATTCAGGATTTTCGAAGAAAGGATCGTGGCGGTAGCCGCGTCCCCAAAAAATTCATTTGTAAGGCTGGATTGAATATTCGAAGATTTTTAGAAATTATGTTAATTATTTACAAGTATAAACAGTCGCTTGCACATTTTTATAACCCATATGAGTGTCTTTCAAAAATTAGACCGACCCATTCTCGGTGTGCCCCCCCCCACCTTGGTACGCCATTGATAATGGGTGATTTTCGCATAAGAGGATCTCACTGGCCGTTATTGCCAAAGTTGTCAAGTTGTTCGTACACCTCAAAAGCAAGGGATTAATGTGTATGAGGAACCAATCTTCCTCAAACTAATTTTTTTTTGTTATGATCAGATAACATTATCTGAATAAGTACAGTTTACACCATTTTTTCCTCAACCCAATAGTAGATATTGAAGTCCACACTTCTGTGCGGTAGCATATAAGTGATTACACAGGAATTCGCAAACTGCTGAAATAAGGATAACTTTCATCTTACTCAAGGAAGGGATATTGGCTTACTTCCCTGCGCAGCTTTGTTTAATCTTATTTGAGCAGTTCATTTTATGATGGAAACATTACACGCATATGTTCAATGCACTCTATACCCAATTTGCCGCTAAAGACCCAAAAAGTGGTAGAACGTTAAGCTGTACGTCAAGTATTAGGTTGTCCGGAAATTGATGCCCGTTTTGAATTTCAACCGCGATAAGTCATACACTTCTCATTTTTAAATAGGTTGCAAAGTACCATTCGATAGAGCAAAGCAAGCTCTACAAGATGGCCTTCTTGCTTTTGTAACAGCTCTCACCCACCTCGAGTTTCGAGCCAAAAACTAAAAAGACTCAGCAGCCCGAAATATCGAAAAAAATCGTAACTCAGTTCATAAAAATCCTAAAAAAATTCTTACTTGCTCACGTAAACACTATCCACATAAAACATCTATATACGCCTTTGCCGCATTTTCTTCTCTGTTAGAAATCAAGAAAACGGAAATTTTCATGCATTTGCCAAAGTGATGCTGTGCCGTTCCCACATAAGTAGTTCTATACTACAGACTTGTAGAAGTACGAACGTAAATTCTCAGCTCTCTAAAAGCTTTAGTTCTCGAGAAATTTGAATTTTAGCTTGGACCACCTAACTAGGGAAGCTATATTCGGTATTTCTCGAGAACTAAAGCTTGTAGAGAGCTGAAAATTTGAGTCTGTACCTCTACGGGCTTGGGGTGTACAACTACCTATGTGGGGATGGCTCAGCATCACTTTGGCAAATGCACGAAAATTTCCGTTTTCTTGGTTTCTAACAGAGAAAAAAATGCGGCAAAGGCCTATATAGATGTTTCATGTGGATAGTGTTTACGTGAGCAAGTAAAAATTTTTGTAGGGTTTTTATGAACTAAGTTACGATTTTTTTCGATTTTTCGGGCAGTTGAATCTTTTTAGTTTTTGGCTCGAAACTCATGGTGGATCAGAGCTGTTGCTAAAGCAAGATAGCCATCTTGTAGAGCTTGCTTTGTTCTATCAAAAGATATTCTGCAACCTATTTAGAAATGAGTAGTGTATGACTTATTGCGGTTGAAATTCAAAACGGGCATTAATTTCCGGACAACCTAATATATGAGTAGTACCTGCGTATAGGCTATAAGTTAACTAGGGCCATAGTAAGCGTTTATTTCTACGTGACTATCTAGTTTGCAGCAAAAATTTCATTTCAAATTAAGTGTTTAAAGTATGTGTGTAGCATACTTTTCGTTTCAACCAAAGTCTTGAACTTTTCTTCTGTAATGACCTAATGCTCGCGTCAACTTTCAAAGTAAAATCTAGAACCTTATTGAATTAGAAGGTTCCAGACCTTCCCTGCACATAATAACGGTGTGAGATCTAATAGATACGTGAATACGACAGACATTATGATTATGTATAAACGCATCCATCGCCTTACTTACTTATAAAATGAAGTGCAAAAAGGAGTTCAATAATCAAATGGCTTGCTTTGCGTGATGCCCGAACATCGCGAAAAAGCTTATCCACTTTATTTTTACCTTTCGAAAATTTGATATGACGGCACGAGATCGTCTGCCTCTTGATTTCAACTTATCTTCCGGTGGAATTTCCAGAAGGATAAGGACGCTGAAGAGGACTGCAATCATAACTGGTAATGGCCATCTGCTTGTATTCGTCTAGCGAGCATGATCTAGCCAAGCAAATCGTGGCAGCAATACGGTCGCAAATAATATGGACCATCTCGATATTGTACCTCCGTGGTTTCAAATTATACAAATACTTTTGAAACTGAAAATCATACAAAATTTTGCCATGATTCCGAAAATATGGAGTCACCTCGTTGCAATCCATAATGTGCGCTTGATACCTTTCCACAACTGTTCCACTCGTTTCACTACATCTTCCTCCTTCAGTGACATCCATCTCATCCCACTGCAGGCCGTACTTGTTACCATAATCACCAAGCTTAAATAATTCGATATAGTGACACAAGAACGTAAGTGAATTCCTTACGAGTTTGCCGATGTTGTTAGTCCTGGACAATCTGGCATATCCCTTGAACTTGATTGTGATTTGTACTTTGTCTCTCTCTGTCCATTGGAACAAATCACCGAGAGACTGTCCAAGTATCTAGTAGAATGAGGAACTTTGTGTAAAAGCACAATGACAATGACTGCTTTGAGATCTGCTATATCTCGATTATTTGAAACTATGCGGCTTACCAAGTGAAGCAGAAGAAATGGCAGCAAAGGAGACATTTCGTCGGAAAGAAGCTTCTATAAAACAGCCTTTTATATAGATCTCAGAGCGCCGCCCACCGATAAGTGAATGATGAAGATCACTTTTTGATTACATTAGCTTACATAATAGCGTCCATCATTAAAAGAGAACGTTTAAATGCTAACTTTCACATAATAGATCATGAAAGAAATATGGCTGTCTCATCATGCTGTTATTATGCAACAGCCTAGTATTAAGCAAAGAATGAGTTATTTATTCATTCACTTATTCAAAAATGAATCGTATAACGATGTGCCACCTTATGTATATTTTAACATATGTACATATATTTCAAGAAAATGAATGTACATATGTTGTCTATCCGATTATTCTATTTATTTGATATGCACAGATGTGGCACTTCTAGAATAATCAGCGAAAGCGCTCAGGACATAATCAGTAAAGAAGGAAACGAAGAAATACTCATCGACTCAGCCAGGTTCAGCCCCTGAAAAGTTTTTTTGAAAATAGAAAGGGAGTGCGCTTGACAAGACCATGTATGAAAACATATAGTCTGGGCTCGGCCAGCTTCCCATAGGTACCTCCGCGGCGCACGCCCAGCGCGCGTTCGGATTGCTGCTTCTCATTCCTCATATGAGTAGCAAGCATTTCTATACACAATGGGAGTGAAATGAAGATTGGAAGTGTCCAAGCCTATCACGAAAGAAGCCTAGGCAAGAGTGTAATGAGTAAAACCTCTACTAGTCGCGGATTCCAGTCAGTCGCTGCAAGTGTGAGACGCTCCAATCATTGAAGAAGGTACTAAGTAAATCAAAAAGGACAAGCATCACTGGCAACAATTTTCACATCTCTATAGAAAAAAGTCAAAAATGTAAGCTGGAACACGAGCACAATCGAAAAAAAGTACAATTTACTTATCGAAAGCTTTCTCGAGTTAGAAGCGACCACTATTCAAGAAACGTTTCTAATGGTACTCTCATTGTGTAAAAGAAAACTCTAATCACGTTCTGCTTAGAAGTGATGAAATCCTCATTAGTTGAAAAAAAAGAGAACTACTACACATTACAGGCTGTTATCTATGGTTGCTGAACCTAAAATAGGGAGATTAGAGAGTAACAATACCAAAGAGAACAAAAATCAAGTAATCTTTCAAACCAGGCTGAGTCGAGGAGCGCGTTGAAGGCGTGCGGTGCGGGTGCGTCGCGGTGGTACCTGTGGAAAGCTGGCTGGGGCACCCACTATAGCACTGGTGTGGGAGCTCATTGGACTTTGTATATGTTCCATTCCGCAAGAGGTTGATACATATTTTAAATAGTGCATAGCCGCTCATACTGAATATTCTTGCAAAAGCTTGACACAGTGAACATGAAGGACAACATGGAATTGAAATCCAAATAGCATAAGAATTTTAACCCAGTAATGCTATGCACACCTATATAGCATAAAGCGTTGTTAAGAGTAGAGAACTCTATGTCGCTGAAGCGTAAGGTCCGGAACGGAGATCTGCAACAAGTACGCATTGCATGTGTAGAAACTGCGTAGTTGTTTTAGATGTCCGCGCGAAGTCCCCCCCCCCTCCCCTTCCCACTTCATTAGGTCTACCTGGATGGACGCCGACGATAGATTGTAACTCTTTTGAGTGGTTGCAGTTGGCTAGCTTTTTCCGCTCATTCAATACAGCTGACACTATCTTATCGTACAAGCCCCGAACAATAGCTCGCAAAAGTTGAAGCATGTCGGATCTCTTCGCCAAATTTGAAAATGAATAGAATGGCAGAGCTTGTTGCTATGTCTACGACCCGGCAAGGTTTCAATTTTTTTTTTCGGAATTGGGGCTGGTTCAAGCTACGAGACCGATTCATATGCTATTACTGCGGCGAAGCATCACTCTGACGTGAAACTTCAAGTCGACTGTCAGGCTTATAAAAGAGCACCAAGTTTAGTTGCACCCCTTTGTTTTTCTGGCTCTTTGTGTCTGTTATCAGTGTGATGAACAAGGACAAATGAGAGAATATGGGCTTTGAACCTAATGGACGCGTTAGGGCACTGAAAAAGACGATAACGCCCAAAAATAAGCCGAGTAAAATGATTCAACCTTAGCCAGTCGCTTCAAACGGCTAAGATACGTGAATACGATCCACCTACGGTGTCGAATAAGAGTTGGGTGGGCTGCGAAACCAGTCCATTTCCGCACTGCAAATTTTACATGCCTTCTCATACTCAGAATGAATGCAACGTTTGCTCGGCGCTCAAATCACTAATTCATTTACCGGCCTTCTTAACTCTTATCGAAAATAACAAGAGAGCATCAAATTGATATTATCGATTGATGCTTTTTGCTACAGACAAATTACTTTTGCGTCAAAGTGTATCTGTAAAGTGTTTCACTCCCTGCAATCTTAGGGCCGCATGCACTAACATTGCCGCGGGGAGGGGATCGCAGCTTAAAAGAAGGCTTAATATTTCGAAACTCCAGACCTGGATTTCACGTTGTGTACCTATCCGTAAGTATTCCTACTATCCTTCACTATGAACATGTTTGACAGGAGCGAGAAGCTGTACGAACCGCATTTTCCAGCTTTTGTATGATCCCTGATGACCCCCGGCGCTTTTCTTCAAAATCACTTTTCTTTCTCCGAAGTTAACGAAAAACTTCCAAAGTTGTGCAGATTATCTGACCCAACGGTGCTAAGCATGTTGCTGATAAGAACAAATGATGTTTTGAAGTCATGAAATTTTCGATGATCCACAGGTCGAAATTCGGGGTTTATCGAAAAATTCGATTTTTCAAAAATTCATTTGTTCTCATCAGCAACATGCTTAGCACTGTTGTGTTAGATAATCTGCACAGCTTTGGGAGTTTTTCGTTAACTTCGGAGAAAGAAAAGTGACTTTAAAGAAAAGCGCCGGGGATCATCAGGGATCATACAAAAGCTGGAAAATGCGGTTCGTACAGCTTCTCGCTCTTGTTCAACATGTTCATAGTGAAGGATAGTAGGAATACTTACGGATAGGTACACAACGTGAAATCCAGGTATCTGGAGTTTCGAAATATTAAGCTTTTTCAAACTGCGATCTCCTCTCCGCGGCAATGTTAGAGCATGCGGCCCGTAGGCGTCGTCTAAGTGCGAATAGGATTGTCAGAGAATTCCGATCCTCTCTTATCTTGTGAATTTCTGATAATTAACACTATGTCAGCGATATGGTGGCTAAGTAGAAGGCTAGTTTCTCCGAAGATCCGATTTATCAAGGAGGTAGATGTTTTTGAATTTTGGCCTCAAAATTCAAGTAGATTATGATTCATGCGCATATTTGGTATTCACTTTGTAGAGCTTGCCTTTTTCAAATTACACTTCCGCAGGTGTCTTTTCGCTTCAATCACTTCATGCAAATCAGAGAGGTACATATCCTTTGATTCAACTCAATTGGCCGCTAGAAGGCGGGGCTTCGTGACCTAGTTAATGCTAGAAGATGTTCAGAGATCACGAGCACGAGAGACGCCGATTGCGTAGCGGGCATGAGCGGCCTTGATTGGGTCACAAAGTCCCGCCTTCCAGCAGCCAACCCAGTTGAATCAAAAGGTTAGCATCGTCGACTTCCAGCAGTAGTCCTAACGGACCACTGCGACCCAGTAAATCAATGATCTACCATAGGCAAGTCCACGAGTCTGCAGTCTCCGCCCAGCCTACTCCAGAAAAATGACATATCTTTTCCAATAGTTATGAAATGGGAATCAGTTCCCTATAAACGGCTCCGTTTAACCTCAAAGGCAGTGGCTCGGCAAATCTCATCTAGTCAAATTTGCGCTTACCTGGGGTTTTTCAATACGCTGATCCCGAAAATCCACTTTTGAAAACTTGAAAACGGCGAAAATGAGCGTTTTTAATGCCCTTCCCTTTGATGTTGGACGAGTTGAGCAAGACCGATGACGCTAAATCGTGGCAGGACCCAATGGATATAGCTTTGCGGCGGGAAGCCTCCAATGGTGAAAAGGAAATTCCAACTCGTCCGGGCGCGTGTAAGATTGGCCTGCGCGTGTAAGTTCGAGAGCGATTTTCTCGACAGGGAAAGCATGCTGTGCAACCGGGATTGCACTGTTTTCATAGTTGGGCGGTAAGGAACCTACCGCGTTAAAATCCCGAGTTATTGGATTTTGCCGATCCACTGCCTTTAAAGGCAGTGTCCAGGCAAACCTGGTCGGATGGCTCTTTCCCCAGGAAACTGATGAGGAGGTACTAACTAAGGCACTGCCCAAGGGGCAGCGCAAATTGTTCAATCACGGTTGAGAAATCCGTCCCCGAAAACCCCGCGCCTGCGCCGTGACCGACCCAAAAACGACTTCGCTCACTTTAACACTACGTTCGCGCTGGGACCAATCCTAAGTGTTACGTTCACGGCGCAGCAACGGAGTGTTTGTGGATGGATTTCTCAACCGTGAATGAAATATTAGGTTGTCCCAAAAGTAAACTCCATTTTCAAATTGAGCAGTTCTTGTTTTCCTGATAGACTTAAAGTACCATTCGATAGAGCAGAGCAAGCTCTACAAAAAGACCACCAAGGACGCATCTAAGTCGTAATCCAGGCAAAATTTGGGGCCAAAAATCAAAATTTTTCGACTACCCTAAAAATCGGGTCGCCTTCCAGAGTATTTCTACGGACTTTCAATTTGGTCGTTATATAGTAGACACATAGTAGTACCCAAAACTGTATTTGGTGATTTCTTCCTGGGCTCAAAATTTAGAAACAAAGGTGGTCCCAAAATGCCAAAATGCCACTTTTTTCGAGTTTTTTTTGTATAAAACTTGGTATTTCTCGATCATAAGAGCACATACCGTGGTAAGGTTCTGGAATTATACTTAGTAAGGCTCGTAGTATACAATGACATATGTGGGAGGGGCTGGGGGCGGAGTTTGCCATTTTTAAACAGTTTTTGTTTCTCGCTTTCTATGCACAAAAATAATTCGGCAAAAGCATATTTGAGTGCTACTATGTGCCTGCTGTATAACGACCAAGTTGGAGATCCGTAGGGCTTTTCCTCGCGGAAATCCAATTTTCAAGTGACAAAATTTTTTTCAATTTTGGCTTCAAACTCTACATGGGATGCGACTTAGACGGACCCTTGGTGGTCATTTTGTAGAGCTTGATCTGCTTTATCGAATGATACCTCAATTCCGCTAGTGAAGCAGGAACAGCTTAAATTATTCAAAAAAGGAGTTTACTCTTGGGACAACCTGATATTTGCGCTGCGGTTTGGGCTGTGCCTTAGCTAGAGCCTCCTCGACAGTTTCCAGGCAAAAAACCCATATGCCCAGATTTGCCTGGGCACTGCCTTTAAGGTTTCCAAATTATGAAGTGACAGGATATAAACGCTTATGCTTTGCTGGTTGATACATGCTCTCCGAAGAGACTGTGATGCTCCTAAGTAGGAAAACAACTCGTCCACGTTTACCTTGTGAATATTTACAGAAGTATTACTCTCTAACGACTCTACTCTCACGGTGCTCTGTGTACGAGTGCAACTCTATCCTAGATAAATCTTGATGTGCGTCAAGGGCGTTTAGGGCAGGGTCTAATTTCATTTGTTATTATATTAATCGTAGAGCAACGAATTTGATGATTAAAAACTTCGACTGACAACATTTATAGTGGCGCAATACTTCTAGCCTACAATTGACTTGATTTTTGGTGTATTAATCTGCCCAGTCAATGTAATTGTGAGTGGAAACTGAGATTATTTGAATCAGTCAATTTGTGCATTTACTGTGATAAAGTGGCTACCGTAATCTGTCGAGGTACGGAAACTTCAAGCGATCGGTTGCTCCATTGCTATTATATTTAACATCTTGTCTCTAACCAGTACTTAATAATTACTTGATGGCGCCACCGGTCCCGGTTTCGCCGACAAATGTAAATGAACTTCACCGCCCAACTTACATGACTATAGGGTAATGATCCAACAATGGTTGATGAACCCTCGATGTAAGTAAACAAATCAATAAATCGATTGAAGGGCCCAACAAATCGTCGCAAAAGTAGCCTATCCTGTGCGCCATGCCTTATTCATAGGGGGACGAATTTTAGCCGTATCCGTTCACACACACAAAACAGAGTTTCGGTTTTGATTAAATATAAATTAGCTAAATCAATAGAATATTGGGGAGGGGGAAGAGGAAAAGACTCCCTGGATTCTCGGACAATTATAACTTCGGTTTTCTTATATGATGAGAGCTTCTCTAGATTTCAGCACAGAAATTTAGCATAGTTGCTTGCCTCAACAAAATTGCAGTTACAAACCACAAAAATTTATTCGGCTTCATCACTGAGTACAATTGTAAGCCTCATTAGCTAAATCTGCATATTCTTTTTTTAAGCAAAAATATTTTAAGCAAATTGAGGAACCTATGTGACCGCATTCAACGTAAGCCATTCCAATATTGTAGTACGTAGATGGTCTCAGATGGTACAAAAACCTTTGAAACTGAAACACATACGATTAGTATCTAAAAATCCGAAGATTGTTTTTACCCCGTCGCAGTCCATAACAAACGCGTCATACTTTCGGGTATTTGAATCACTTGTACATCTTCCTATTTGACGAATTTCCATATCACTTGTAGAAATTCCAATTTTTTTACCATAATCTTGGAACTATCATGGATTATTAACTTAAAAACAAATGGCAAGAAAAGAGCCTTACAAGCGCATTAACGTCGGATGATATACTAACACAACAGTGGTATCTGGGTTTGAATGTGATCTGCACGTTGCTCCTTTGTGCCCAGTAGTCAACCAGATGTCCAAAAGAATATGCGAAAATCTAAGAGATGCATGTAAACACTGAATAAGGTAAAATGACATTGAGTACTCCGATGTTTGTTACTCTTTTGATGTTAGTAGCTGGCATTTAAGGCTCGGCTCGGTTTCATAATATGTTGGAAGTATCTCTCCATTCCCTTATCATCTATCAGGTTTTTTAAATTATTGCCAAAAATGTGCTTATGTTAGTTAAACAATGAGACTATATGATTTTATTCAAAAGGTTACATATTCGCAATCTGCTGGCTACTATCCCTGTGTATTATTTTTGGGCTGCTTAGATTTACAGCACAAAAGGATGCATCGCTTTTCAATATTGCACGATTGGAATAGGAACTTTCAGCGTTGTTGCAACTGCCATATCGAAGAACTTCGAAAAACTCCAGATTCGTGGCGAAATTCTGGACCCATTGGTCCTATAACTTTGCGCATAGAGCAGTTTACTAAGCATACTTCTTTTTGATGATTATTAGGAAGACAGGCCAGATCCTCTGCTTCTGAAAGGTAAGATGTTGCCAATTGCCTTCATATCCCAGGATGGCGATTGCCGTGAAAAACTGCTAGGATAATCTCCATAAAAGCCGACCCCACGCTTTCCTCGACGCTGCAGAGCACATCAAGTACCACAATATCGCTCTGCAGGAGACAAACACCAGGAGATGATGTGTGATAGTGATTGATAAGACCCTCGCCATTTGTGGCTAGAATGTACCAAAGAAACGAAGAAGACGTGGAGGAGGTCGACCCCAACGAGAAGTACTTATCTGTTGAGTGTAACACGAAAATAGATACGCCATTAGAAGAATAATATCGGATCAGGATTGGGAAATTTAGATATGGGCTCCGGAACAAAACCAAATTTCTCGTTAAGCTTCTCTCTGCATGATTTATCTTGAATCTGTTTTCATAAACAAAAAATGCCTAGCTGGACATAAGAATCGCGACTGAACGGCTCACGTAGAGATCGACCATATCCTCAACAACCGAAGGTGGACTTGCTCGAAATTCTAGTGGTTTCATCCTGCTGCAGGCTCTCCAACCATTGCCTAATTTGCGTAAAATTATACTTTTAAGCTGGGAAAGAGAGTTTGCCATAGATTGGCAAGAAGAAAAGTAGTCGCTTATAAGCAGGCTGGAAGAGTTCACGTCAAGTTGCGACTGACCCACTGTTCTTAAGAAGAACATCGGGAGCATCTTGAAGACTATAAGGGGTTGCTCGAAGAAGAAGCTTGAGGCAGATTTTGAATGTGAAATGTCGAGCGACGGTTGGCGAACGCCGGTTGCATAACAGCTTTGCGAGAGGATCTCCAAGGCACAAAGCAAAGATACCGGAAGTAGTCGGAGGAAGACGAAGCTCTTAAGTACCGAAAGAACTTGTAAGGGACTTCTGCAACTATCTACCGAGCAGCGCTACCGAACTAACAATAAGACGAGGCTCCGCCTTTTTCACATGAGATAGATACTATGCGAGAAACCTCCACAACGCTTCTTTGCCTATTGACGCCCTTGCCAAAGTCCGCTATTTTCATTGGGAAATTATCACGATTACACGTGGTTAAGTGTACACCGAGATATGGACCTTAAAGATATCTATGGCTTCGGCGAAACGAATGTTCGATGCGGGACTTTAAAAAGTGTCCCTCTCTCGAACAATGGTAAACGGGAGAAATTCACAACCACCGTTCAATATGCCTGCTGAGTATGAAGCTTTTCGCGAAGCTTATGGTTGCTCGCATGTCAAGGACACTGGAATGAAGCCCAGCGTTATGAATATTTGCAAATGATTTAGTTGCAAGATTTTGCAAAGATTTTGCAAATGATCTAGTTGCATAGACATTCAGACGGTTTCAAAGGTTATAAGCGCGCCTCTAGTTCTAACATTCCTCGACCATGATAAGGCCCTAGACAGCGTTTGAATCCACGCCATCCTGTCTGCGGCACTCGACCGAGGAGTGGATCAGCTTATGTGTGGACCTAGCCAACTGCTACAAGAACTGTACAACAGCGATGCAGCTATTCCGTCGTTCCCTAACCCATTGTAAGCGAAGGGGGTCCGATAAGGCGACACAATCTCGCCGATGCTGTTTACCGCAGCCTTGCAGTGGGTGATGCAGTCACGGGACTGAGACGAGGGAGGCATATGAACTGTGGATTTTTCTTCTTCTTTATACGGACAAGATCGCTCTCTTTTCGAGAAGTATGATTGAAGCAGAAACTATGCGAGAAATGAATTTGTTCAATGAAGAAGGAAAGAAGATTGGACTACGAGTTCGGAAGAAGACTCAGCTCATGAAGAATGCCCTTTGTAAAGATATGGAAATGGAACTGGCCCTTATTACGGAGATTATCTATGACATGAACATTGAGAGGATTGAGGGAGGAACATAACAGGAAAAGAAAATCGACGAGGAGCGCTTTTGATGGCTTGAAATAAGTGGACCATTTGGCAACCCACAGAGCGCAGTGTATAGAAATTATCCGACACAAGCAGCATCTTCCCTATTTGGCAGTACGGATGAGAAATTTATCTCGATTCCGTAGTCCTCGTAGCGGAATACCTCGTAAACGCGAGTTTGTAGGCTAGTAACATAATAAGTAGAACAGACGAGAGATGGACATTAAGAATATCTGGATTGGAGTCCTCGCGAAGCCAAACGTTCCCGGAGAAGACCAGCAGCGAGATGGGCAGACCTTCACGTATGGGCAAGGCTAAAACAGCTAAAAATTTTGAGCGCACTCACCTAGGACCATCAAAATTCGTGGTTGTCATAAGAGAGGGACCACAAGCAACTTGAAAACGGACCACGCAGTTCTTTAAGTGAATAGAAGGGAAATCGCTTTTATTGCATGTCCGTCTGTTTTTGAACTAGGAATTAGGGTAAGGCGAAAATCTCGTACATGAAATTAGCAATCCAAGACTTGACTTGGAATTTCCAAAGTTTTTTTGGGGCAGGTGTTTTAGGGCCTGAAGCCTACCTTAGTGGTCTTAGTGGTCGTAGTTCTACACTAATGAGTGAGAAGTGAATGGTTAGTTTTATACTTTGAACCTAAGAGTCCCTACATTAGCCGTGCGAACTTCCGCGAAAGCTGGTGGAACCAAAAAATTCATTTGGGAAACTCTGCATGAGATAAATTATTTAACGGTAAAAAATTTTTTAAATCTTACCGTAAGCAGTAGAATGAAAAGGAAGAAACTGGGCATTCTGCAAACACAGCTTCCAAAAGTTTCCCCCTTTTATATCGTATAACATCGTTTGGGCCATGAAAACACATTCTTGATTTCTTTGTATTGGCACAAAAGATTTTTTATGAAGCTAAATAAACTAAACAAAGGTTACACATGCGATTATATCTGATTATACTGGTCGTTAATCATAAAGCTATTGAGTACACATTCCTTTTCTGGTCTTTGAAAGTCACCTAAAATTAAGATTTTTTCACTTATTGAGAGTAAAAAGAGAAAGCTATCACATTCCTTTCAACTCGATAGTTTTCTTCGGTTTTCTTAATCGCTGTAATCCGAAAGTATCAAAATAATCTTCTTTCACTCCTCGCTAGTGATTCACGTAATGTAGAACACTATATAATAACTCTTTTGCTTCAATGTCTTTCGCCGAAGCTTAGATACCATCTGTAAAGGTGGCTTCCACTTACAATTAGATGTGCAGTATAGAACGAATTGATGATTGCTCTTCATTACTGCGGGATTGCGATAGAAACTTACAAGGATTGCATGTTTAGTCGAAGTGGGCTTTTCAGGTGGGATGTATACCATAATAAAGGGCATAAAATGATGATTTCAAATCTGCCTTCGCTATCTGCAGAACGTTTATGGGCGAGGAGTTATGAGCGATTATTGGAGCGAGAATTGAATGTGCAAGTAGGGTAAATTTAGCCGTACTATTTTTTCTGCTTTTTAATGGAGCAGTGATAATTATCAAAGCACTTTATTTGAAATATTCTCTCAAATAAAAAATATATCACATTTGATTGCACCATTTGAGGGCTAGTGAGATTCTAGCAACTCATTTTATCGAAAATGCGCATTCAATTTTTGGCTTCGAGAAATGCTCATAACTCCTCTTCCATAAACGTTCTGCAGATAAGGAAGGCAGGTTTGGAGTCAACGTTTTATGCCTTTTAATATGGTATACATCTCACTTAGAAAGGCCACTTCGACAAGACAAATTTCCCTTGTTAAAAGAGGGTTTTGAACTATTGAAATGCACATCTTGAACAAGAAAGAAAATCAAACAAGCCAAAAACTATTATATCAAGAATCAAAGTCGCTGATTACAAATCCAAGTTTGCATTTTAACTGATGTTTCTTCCGTAAGTTATTTTACTTATGTCAACAGCTGTTTCCCAGTGTTTGTCAAAAATGTGATTACACCATTAGAAAAGCTCAAAAGACTTATAAAAGTTGTGTAGTGGAATCAACATGTGTGAAAATCCTGCTACGCAATTTTCCAGATTTCACAACAATTTTTGTCACATGGCCTAATTTACAATGGTTGTGTATGGTAGAAGTTCATACCGTGATCTCACATTCAGAAGTGCAGTCGGTGATTTGCTGCATGGAGTCAATCTAAGCTGAAGCGAGCTCTACAGATTGGTACTTAGAAATCGGCGATAGACATTGAGGCAAGAGAGTTAACAACGGTCAAATAGTTTGCGTATTTTTTGGGCCCCTGTACATCGATTTGGAGTTTAGAATCAGTACTAGTTTAAAATTAATGCAAAAGAAGTTCGGTAAAATTAGGTTGTTCCACAAGTGGTTAGCTCCATTTTTCATTTGACTGGATTTGAGATTTGATGACGTGTTGAGGCAAGTTACGCAATCTGACGGGATAGTGTAGTGCAAAATGGCCGTTTTCCTTGAAGGCATGCTTCTCTCTCGGTATTGGATTAGAAATATCTGAAAATAGAAGCTCTGCATTCGAGCAATTTCAGTGTAAACAGTGCGAAGAATGATGATCTGGTAAATAGTGAGATTTCGAATTCTCAAACGAACTACAGAACTTTGTGAACTATCTAGACGCAGTATCCATTGACTTTAACAAGTGACCGCTAAAAAGTTGTGGACGGAACTATTTTCCATGTTTATTTTTGAGTGGAAAAATGAGATTAAATTAGTCCAAATGAATGGAAGCAGCTCTCGATTGGCTACCCTCCAGCGAGTCCAGCGAATTCTGGAAAATACAGATTCCAAATTTTCCGACTCTCTTTCAAAAACGTCACAATGCTGACAACAATTCTTCGAACGCAAAAATTTGCTTTCAGATTCTTTTTTAGAGAGGAAACTCAGTTATCTGAACATATAAGCATACTATTCCTCAATTCATGTTTCAGTCCAGGAATCAACACTTCAAATCATGAATATGAGCGCTCATGCTTTCTTAAATAATACATGTCTGTAACCCGGGCGATTGCGATTGTGTTCCTGGTTGGAAGTCAACTCGTCCACGTTTACCTTGTAAATATGCAAGCACGTGGTATTGTCCTAATTGTCCTGCGCTTACGATGTTCTATGGTACGAGTTCAGCGGTATCCTAGTTACTCCATGTGTGCGTCAAGAGCGAAGTTTAGATTTTTTGGGTTCGCTTGGTCTCTAAGCTACCATAGGGAAACTGCTGTAAATTTAATTCATGGAGAGGTTATTTTCTGCAGTTTTGGTCAGTATAGCATCTTATTTAACATTATTGGCTAGTTCGATTTGCGCAAGTTAAGAAAATCGAAGATTTGCTCTCGGATAACTTATTTTGTAAGTGTAAGGCAGAAATCAAAGTTTGTTCGAATGCTTTTTTTCGTATATTCCCAAAAATCAACTCACTAAAATATCCTGAGAAAAACTCGTACAAAAAAAGTCATTTTGTTTCATAAAATGATTCTTGAAATTGTTAAATTGCTTCTGTGGTTTTCTTTGCATCTTGTATATGCTAGCAAGAATCGTGAACTGCTTGAACGGTTGTTGAACTTATATTTAAAACAAAGTTCTACATAGCTGCCCCGAAAAACTGAAGTCTAGATTACCCACCTAAAATCATGCCTCACCATCAATCAATGGCGGTCCAAATTTGGGAATGAGGGGTGGGGAGCTTACTTTCACAAAATTAGCCTGCCATAAGTTTATAACAAAAATTAAAAGTGACTTGTTTTTACTTGCAAATTTTTTTAAAATTCCAAAATTCGAGTTACCTTTGTTAAAAAATTTTTTAGGAAGTGCTGCTGCCATGCCTCCTTCTGAAATTAAATTTTGGAAAGCACCCCAAGATGCGGAAAGAGGGGGTAACGACAAGTCCCATCATTCGCAGAGTATTCGTCGCCCTTCACTGCTCCCGCTTCCCCCCCCCCCCCGCCCCTTAAAAAATTTCTCGGACTACCACTAGTGAACGTGTCTTTTTTTTTGAAATGGAAGTTAAAAGTTATTGACTGATGTGAATCTGTAATTGGAGACATCGATTAGCAATAGACAAGCTCAGCTAGTGAAGCGCTTGACTTAATATAACAAAATTCAGAATCACCTCGGCTTTATGCCAGTTTTGTCTAAAATGAAATTTTGCATTCCAGCAGAATAAGTCATCAATGACTCAAATTCTGAGACTTCTCACTGACTTTCTCTCAGCGATCTGTTTACTGAAGTAAAGCCGTTGATCTCGCTAATGATCTCTGATCGATAAAATCGAGCTCTCTTCGAGTAGTTGTGGTGTGTGCGAGTTTCGTATCTCATATGCTCTCACTTCTCTAATTCACATTTGTCTCTGTTTCATTGTTTGGAATTGTGTAAACATCTCTCGCTCAGGGGGTGGCTATGAGCTCTCCGAGGGACGGGGGGGGGGGGAGGGGAATCCCTCAATTAGCGCACTTATCTAACTTTTATGGGACTACTTTTGGTCATTTTTGAGCGGGGGAAGGCGTCAAATTGTGCTTTATGGTAAAATACGAGCGATAACAATTTGTACTTAGACTTTTTTTCATTTTAATCAAAATAATGGGTCAGTTTCCGCTGATTCTGATCTCTGACTGTATTTATACTTTGCTTGCTAACGCTCCTACCTTCCATATTCTTTCTTCCTCCCCCTCCCGTCTTCTCTCATCATTCTCGTTTCTTTTCAGCTATAAAACGTTGCACACGTGAAGAGTACAGCTGGCATCCGACCAAATGACAGTTGTTTGAGAGAGAGAATACCCCTCGCTCTTGGCACGGTGCCAATTACTAGGTCGATCTCTTACAACTGCGCAGTTTCCCTATTTTTCCAATGTTTGTGTCCATGAGCTTTTAAATCCATATCTGCAATATTTATTTTTTGCCATTTATTCTCAGAATTTGTTTCAAAATTGTGAAAAAGGTGAAGATTACCAATGGCCCCTCCAATTTTGATTTGGCACCTTTCTGTCTAACAGTCATCTGCTTGCTATGCATCGTAAACACTACTCTACGCCTTTTTTGTGAGTTTGATGTCATCTGGAGAAGATTTCGCAGAGAACCAAAAAAGTATAATTTTGAGGTTATCTGTATTTTCCAATGCGAACTACTTCCCTTGATGGAAATGGATGATTAGTGTGAGTGGAAGATCTGATAGGAGATACTGCTATTTTATTACCGTAAATAATCTAATTATAAAATAAATCAAAAAATTTCTAGTAACATTTTCGAGTGAACGAATATTTTTCTCTGCCATTACTGAGCCCTGAAGTTGTTACATGTTTTCACTGGATAACTTCCAGCAGATTAAAGTTCTTCTAAATAACAACAATGATTCTACTCATACCCTCCCCTCTCTATGCCCTCCAATTCACTTCATTCTAAGGTATTTTTTTATACCCCTACCCTCTTCTATCCGCCGTCAAGAATTTAACCTTCAAAGCACATATAGAACGAATAATCATATGCTCCAGTAGCAAATATTTCATATACGAGTGGTGTTCCAGTGTTCCAACTTAATGGTCACCACTCAATAATTTGTACATTAATAATTTCTCACATGCTCCAGATATTCGTCTTGGTACTAATCCATCTAACGCAACAGCTGATGTAGGTTTTACTTTACTTTTTTGCTTCAACAAATAACTTAGCCCCAACTCTGAATGAAACAAGCAAACTGACTATGAGGTTATGTACTATAATACTTTGATTTTCAATACATATTAATATTCAGTTGTTGTGATATCGCTGGTAATTATGCGTTTAAATGCAAAAATAGAT